GCACTGAATAATAATAATAATTTTTTTTTTTTTTTTTTTTAAATTTATTTATTTATTTTTAGTTTTTCGGCAGACACAACATCTTTGTTTGTACGTGGTGCTGAGGATCGAACCCGGGCCGCAGGCATGCCAGGCGAGCGCGCTACCGCTTGAGCCACATCCCCAGCCCTAATAATAATAATTTTTAAAAAGGGATGGGGATGTAGCTCAGAAGTAGAGCACTCCTGGGTTTAATCCCCAGTACAGAAAAAAACAAATCAAGAAGCAGGAAGAGTGGGTTGGGTAAATAGCTCAGTTGCTAGAGTGCTTGCCTTGTATGCACAAGGCCATGGGTTCAATTCTCAGCACCACATTAAAAAAAAAAAAATAGAAGAAGCAGGAAGAGATCTACCTTCCTTATAGTGGAATTACATCTACTAAATATAGAAGGACTAAGAACAATTGGAGATTGCTGGGCACAATGGTACACTCCCGTAATCCCAATGACTCAGGAAGGAGGCTGAGGCAGGAAGACCACAAGTTCTCTGCCTGCCTCAGCAATTTAAGAGACCCTGTCTCAAAATTTTAAAAATTAAAAAGGGTTAGGGATATAGCTCAGTGTTAGATCATCTCTGGTTTCAAATTCTAGTACAAAAAAAGAAAAGAAAAAAAGAACAACAAAGTTAGAAAATCAGTCAGACACCGTGTCATACATCTGTAATCCTAGTGACTCCAGAGGCTGAGGCAGGAAGATTGCAAGATTAAAGCCAGCCTCAGCTACTTAGCAAGGGCCTAAGCAACTTAGTGAGAACCTGTCTCAAAATAAAAATAAAAAGAAAAAAAATTACAATGAATGCTGAAGTTTGAGGGTTTAAAGTATAATGTGGAATAGTCTAAAAGTATCTTCCCACGAATTACTCTTTAATTATAAAAAGGAAATTAATAAATTTACAGTGGAGGGATCTGGTATCCTCCCCCTTAACCAAGTGATCAAAATCAACCTTTTCAATATTGACAAAACCCAGCATCATCTGATACTATGTTCCTGTCAAACTGTATAATCTGAATCTAAGGATGAAGAAGCATCAACCAAACTTTGGTTGGTGATGCTCTGAAAAATAAATAACTATATTTTCCAAAATTGCCAAGGTTGAGAAAGACAAAGTAAGGCAGAACTGTTCCAGATTACTAAAACCACATGACAACTAAATGTAAAACATGTTCCTGCCTGGGTATCATTGAGAACACAAATAGGTAAAATGGATTTTATTTACACAAGTGCCAAAATTTGAATATGAACTATACTAGTTTCTTTCTTCCTTTTCTTTTCTTTTCTTTTTTTTGTACCAGAGATTGCACTCATGGGTGCTTAACCACTGAGCTACACTCCCAGTCCTTTTTATTTTTTATTTTGAGACATGGTCTCACCATGTTGCTTAGGACCTCACTGAATTTCTGAGGCTGGCTTTGAACTATCGATCTCTCTGCCTCAGCCTCCCAATCGCTGGGATTATAGGCATGCATCCCCAAAGCCAGCTGGTTTCTTATGGCTGCTATAACAAATTACTGCAAATTTGTTGTATTAAATAACACACATATTTACAATCCTGAAGATCAGAAGTCGGAAATCAACTTTGCTAAGATGAAATTAAGGTGTTAGCAGCTCCAAATTAGTAAAGCATGCAGTGTCTTCAACTGACTCTTGAATAAATCAGAACTCTCTCCATATAACTTCTAAATGGGACAAAACAAACAATATACCTTATCTAGATAAAGATGGTTTGTACCATTTCTGCAATTCATCTGCAAGTTTGAAATTACGTCAAAGTTTAAAGATATTGAAAGAACAAATATTAGAGATAATAGAGGCAGAGATATAAGATATAATTCTAGAGCTCGCCAAATAGGTTCTTAACCAGAGTCAGGAAAATTATTAGATACATTTTTTTAAGGCATTGGAGATTGAACCCAGGGACACTTTACCATTGAGCCAACCACCCAGCCCTTTTTATTTTTTATTTTGAGAACAGGGTATTGCTAAGTTGCAGAGGCTGGCCTCAAATTTGCAATTACAAGCATGTGCCACTGTACCGGGCAGGTAACAATCTCCCTGTCACCTTGGACAAATGCTTATTTTCCAAATCATTTCACAGCTATTGCCCTATTTTATCCTGCAGTAACCACGTGAGGTTGGAAGGCCAGATATTTGTCCCATTGAACAAATGAAAAAAAAAAAAACAAAACTGATGCCTGGAAGAGAAATGAATCACCCAAGCGCCCATATGAGTTTAGTTAGTGGCAGCATCCAAGACTAGAGACTTTCATCTGGGAGAGAGTGGATCAGTCAGACAAAACTCCACCCAAATCTATTCAAATCCTGGCTACAATTTATCTGTTATTTCTACTCATACTGGGTTTTACAGTAGTGACAAACCCCAAAATGTCAGCAGCTGCATACCCAGTGACTTGGGAAACTAAGGCAGGGGAATTCCAAGTTCAAGGACAGCCTGAGCAATTTAGTGAGGCCCTTAGCAACTTAGTGAGAGACCCTGCCTCAAAATTTCAAAAAAGTCTGGGGATGTAGCACTGTGGTAAAGCACCCCTGGATGCAAACATCAGTTAAAAAAAAAAAAGCCTGTATCTTAATGCAATAATGGCTTATTTGTTGTTTCCATAAAATGTAATGTAGGCCAGTAACTCCTAGGAGAAATCTAGGCTCTCTGTCTTTGGGAGGTATTTATGGTGGTGGTGGGGGGGGAATCTTGCTTCCAGCTGTGCAGATAAAGTAGACGTTTGGGTGGAATGTTTTAAACCTAAAAATGGAATAGATCACATTTACATTCTGTTGACCAGAATTCAATCACATGGGTGCACCTAGATGGACCAAGTCTGGGAAATGTCATCTTTCTGTGTGCTTAGGAGGAAAATGAGACAGTTCAGTGAACAATGAGTTTTGACTCTACCATACTCACTCTGTAAACTTGAGCGGTTTATTTACAACTCCTTCAAAATTTCTTCATTCATCAGGTGGAGACAACAAACCACATACAGTATTAAATAAAGCACTACACACACACACACACACACACACACAGAGATACACACACAGAACAGTGTGTGGAACATAGCAAATCATGAATTGTTGCAGTAAGTATTACATAACTTCTCATGTCTCTTTCCCATCTTAATTATATCAATTCCCTGCATGGTGGTGGAGACTATTCATGCCAAACCTTTCCAAGTGATATCCATTTGCTTTTTGCTTTGCCTACATGTAATGTAGATTTGTTTCATCAAAAGGAAAGATCAATGGGTCTCAGTGGTGGAGCGCTTGCCTAGCATGCATGAGACACTGGGTTGGATCCCCACCACCACATAAAAATAAAAAAAAATAAAATAAATGTATTGTGTCCATCTACAACTAAAAATAAATAAACAAATAAATTTTAAAAAAGGAAAGGTCACGGCCATGGAGCAAGGTCCACATGGAAAGATGTTAAGTGAAGAGCAGTGGGTTACAGAGTGTCATTTTGTCAAATATGCCTTAATACAGGGCCTTGGGAACAGTGGAGGCACCCCTGAACCCTCTGGGGTTGCTGAGATGGCCCCCTCATTGTTCTTAACAACAGGTGTTGGCAAACATCCAACAGAGCTGCCCAAAAAGTCTATTCTTACTCTCTGGAATTTAAAGAAAGAGGTCAGGATAGCCTCCAGGGAAGTGAGGGGTGGCAGCTGTCCAGAGCTTCCAACTTTCCCCACACTCAATGCCACAGTAGATAAAGATGGCCCAATTAAGGCCTAACCACAAAGGTCCAGCTAGGGACACCCTGGGCCTCCTGCTACCTGGAAAACAGAATGCCAGGGTTCATAAGCAGCATGTAGGGTGAATTCTCCCACAGGTCACACATCCCCATTTCTTTTCTGCTGAAATAGAAATGTATTTTTCAGATTGGAATGTGGGGCCTGCATCCTGCCTGCCTTTTTCTGTTTCCTATACAAAACCAAAACATGATCAGCCCACCAACACAGGGTTGCTTGATTTTCCAGTTTGTGGCCAGAGCTGAGAAGTACAGCAAATTTGGCGATGATGGTATAGCCAAATTAATCCTCTTATATATTTGCTAAGTAAAAATTGCATGAGATCATTGGTTTTTGTAGTAGGCCCCAAAAGGCCAGGCTAAAAATAAAAATGTCACCAGGCCTAGTGGGACACGCCTGTAATCCCAGTGACTCAGAAGGCTGAGGCAGGAGGGTTAAAAGGCCAAGGGGCTGGGATTGTGGCTCAGCAGTAGAGCTCTTGCCTCACATGTGTGAGGGCCTGGGTTCGATCCTCAGCACCACATTTAAAAATAAATAAATAAAAATAAAGGTATTGAATCCAGGGCCTTGTGCATATGAGGCAAGCATTCTACCAACTGGGCTATATCCCCAGCATAACACTCTTTTTATAACTAATTAAAAATAATTAAAACAATAAAAAAAAAGGTATTGTATCCAACTACAATTAGAAAATACATATAAAAAAAAAAACCTTGAGGTCAGTTTCAACAATTTAGGGGACTTAAATTTCAGCAACTTAGTGAAATCCTGTCTCAAAATACAAAATAAAAAGGAGCCAGGTGTGGTGGTACACACTTATAATCCCAGCAACTCAGAAGGCTGATTCAGGAGGACCCTTAGTTCAAAGCCAGCCTTAGCAATTTAGCAAGGCCCCAAGCAACTCAGCAAGACCCTGTCTTGCTGGGAATGTGGCTTAGTGGTTAAGTGCCCCTAGGTTCAATACCTGGTACCAAAATATATAAATAAATAAATAAATAGGGCTGGGAATGTAGCTCAGTAATAAAGTGCTCCTAGGTAAATCCCTAGTACCAAAAAGAGGAAAAGGAGAAGAAGTAGTCCTCCTAGCAACTCTGGTGATTATCTGCAAGCCTCAGACTTGGTGGCTCAAATCAACATGAGTAGGTTCAGAGCTCCTCTCCCTCCATGCAAGACCAAAATCCAGACAGACTCTGCTCACATACAGTATTAGGCTCTGCTATTTTGTCCCATGGTTCCAAATGCAAAACACCTGTGAAAAAAAAAAAAAAAACTTAAATTGACCCACAGATATACCACTTACAGTCACTATGAAATAAACATTGTTTCTAGAGTTCTATTCTTTTGAGAAATATATTTTTTCATACATATTAAAATAAACATAAAGGGTACATAAGCTCTAGACTAAGATTTCCAACCCATTTTAATGTACTTGTGTCAATTTTGTTGAAATATTCACAGAACTGAAAACTTGAGACTTAATAGGCTTTAATCACGCTGTGTTTGTTGAGACTCTGACCTCTTGGACTCTGAACCTTAGCTATCTCAACTTTTGGTCCCATTTCATTTCCCTTTTACTTTAGTGATCTCCATGGATTTGACTCCCTTCTCCTGGTGTCCTCCAGATCCTGAGAAGTCCTATTTTTTTACCACTGACCAGAATTTCTGAAAAGGAGGTTCTCAGGAGGCTGAGTCTCTTTGGGAGGTGTTTAAGCAGATCTCCCTTGTTATATAAACCCATGAAGCATTCCTTACAGTGTATTTCACATAAATGGTACCTCCTAGGATTGTGAATCCTGGAGATGCTGAAATTCAGGAAATTGCTATGAAGCTGCATTTGCCTAGTACTTTTTTAAATGTAAATAGTGTGTTTATTTGATGGGTTTGGGAACTTAAGTTGTTCCTGTGGAGCCACGAATACTACCCACCATGACCAGGTTTGAAAATAAATATGTGGAAAAATGTTAAAATCAAGTAGGCCAGGCCACAATTTCCTCCAAAATTTTTAGGAATTTGATAATACTGCAAATTATCAAAAAAAAAAAAAAAATGCAAGCCTGTGATGCCAACATCCGGGGGTTAGTGAGGCAGGAGGATCACAAGTTCAAGGCCAGCCAGGGCAACTTAGCAGACCCTGTCTCAAAACAAAAAATTAAAAGGGCATGGGGTTTTAGCTCAGTGTTAGTATACCCCTGGGTTCATCCCCAATACCCTAAAAAAGAGGGGGTTAAGTATATGGCTCAATGGTAAAGCATCCCTGGGGTTCAAATTTCAATCCCCAGTACCAAAACTAAAAAAAAAAAAGTATATATATATATATATATATATATATATATATATATATATATATATATTTAAAAAGAGTATGGCAATTTGAAGTTACCACCAGCATCTTCTAAAAAGTCAAGAAATAATATAACAGAAATGAGACTAAAAGGAAAGCTACAGAAGGTAAGAAAAAAATAGGAAGGACTTGCTAGAAGCAATATCTAATGTTAGAGCACCTCTCTACTCGTTCTGGGGATGATGGTTCGTGAAACCTTGTTGATAAAAAAGACTTTTCTGGATTAAGAATGAAACACAGGGCTGTGAGTCAGGTGGTTCAAGTTCATATTCTGTCCTCCAAGTTATGTAACCCTGGGAAAATTACATAACTTTCCCTGTGAGTGTCCTGGTCTAAAAAATCGTGACCTAGACCATCTCCAGGGCTGTCATGAGGCCCAAATGTGATAAAAAGCATAAAGTGGTTTGGTTTGCTTAAGTATTTTCAGTTTCCCTTAACCAAAAAGCTCTGGGCTTCTTGGAATTTCCTCTTAAAATTTTAGGGAACCTGACAATCAGTTATAAATACAACCAATTTTGTTCCAACTTCCCTCTTCTTCCCGACATGAATCTGTATCCAGAACTTACTTAAAGTCTCTTTTCATCGTGCAGATCCCCCTGGGAAGAGGAGGACAATGGACTTTCCCGGGTAACACCTCGCCTGTGTCCTTTCCATAAAGCTCCAGCTCAGGGCAGGACTGGGGTAGGGGGTGGGCCCAGGGAAGGCAGGGAGGACTGCCTGGAGGCTCCAGCTCTGGGAAGAGGTGCTGAGTCCTGATAGCACACAGGTTGGAAAGCGAACTTAATCTGCTTCCCAACTTTGCTGAGGAAAAAAAAAAAAAGTCTGGCAGAGCTGGGCCCTATTTCAAAATTTTGTCATGTTGAGGAAATAATAAAATCAAAATGGAGTAGCACTGGTTGGAAGTGGAGCCAGGAGGCCATTGTTCATGGGCTCTCAGACACGGCTGCCTCTGAAACTTTGAACTGTGATGCAGACACACCCATCGGCCCCTACCCCAACCCCATGCAAGTTGACCTTTGAGACATTGCTAACCTCTGCTGACTGTCTGTACAATGGACCTCTCCCCCAAACTACCCGGAGACGGAGACCACACCCAATTCCTTTCTTTTCTTTTTTTTAAATATTTATTTTTTAGTTTGTAGTTGGACACAATACCTTTATTTCTTTTTATGTGGTGCTGAGGATCGAACCCAGGGTCTCGCACATGCAAGGCGAGCACTCTACCACTGAGCCACAACCCCAGCCCCCCAATTCCTTTCTTAAGAAGCATCTTATTTGCTTTCACCACCAATCATATTGTTAGTTAACAAATTATGTAATTTTCAACCTCTTTGTGGCTTAAAGCTATAAATACACTCTCCATTTTGTAAAACTTCAGAGCACATTTTCAAGATTGCCCAAATCTGTATTTTCCTGGATTGCTAACCTATCTAGTCCCAAATAAATGTAATCTTCTTTGTTAGACTTGGTTGATTTTATTCTTGGTTGACAGTTGTATGTGCCAATTCCTATTGAAAGGATTGGAATTGTTTGTTTCCTTTCTGGTGACATGTATGTATTCATAAATGTAAATCTATAAATTATTTAATCCAATCCCTTGATTACAGACTGCCCTTAGCTAGATTACAGTTGGAATCTGAGGTTTGTGGGGGATTTTAGTGCTAGCTCCCAGTTCACCCATGCAAAACAAAATTTGAAGGGACCAGGGAACTGTGGAAAGGCTCAGGTGAAAAGCTCAGAGTCCTCCTCTTCTGCTGGGCAGGAAACATGACATTTTTTATGAGTTGTTTTTCAGGCTCTCAGTTTTCCGCCTTAGTACTTACCACTCAACACTAACACTGAAGGACCTTTTTTTTTTTTAAAAAAAAGAGAGAGAGAGACAGAATTTTTAATATTTATTTTTTTTTAGTTCTTGGCAGACACAACATCTTTGTATGTGGTGCTGAGGCTCGAACCCGGGCCGCACGCATGCCAGGCTAGCGCGCTACCACTTGAGCCACATCCCCAGCCCCTGAAGGACCTTTCTTACAGCTGGTTCTGACACCTTCTTTTTTGGGGGTGTGGGTTGAGGGTTTTCTGTTTGTTTTCTGGTAGGGTATTAAACCCAGGGGTTCTTTACCACTGAGCTTTATCCCCAGCCCCTTTCTTTTAAATATCATTTTTAGTTGTCAGTGGACCTTTATTTTAAACCACATATAAATAAATGTGGTGCTGAGAATTGCAGTGCCTCACACATGCTAGGCAAGCGCTCTACCATTGTGCTAGGATTCCAGCCCACCATCCCCTGCCCTTTTTAATTTTTATTTTGAGACAGGGTCTTATGAAATTGCTGAGGTTGGCCTTTGACTTGTGATCCTCCTCCCTCAGTCTCCCAAGTCACTGGGTTTACAGGATTGTGTCACTGTATCCAGCTTTTGTCTGATAATTCCTAATAAAATTTTTTTTTAAAGCTAAGGTATAATTGTATACCTTATACTTGAGAAAAATCTAGTAATTGGTGAAAGTTATACACACACACATATGTATATATACATATCTTTCGATTTCTCTTTCTAGATTTCTATGCAGCACTATATCTAGAACCTTTCCAGAAGGCTAGAAGGCTCACATCTTCCCAGATAACTAACAGTCCAACCTCTATCAGCACAGCTTAATTTTGTCAAGCATATGAAAGGATCATAAGGATGCTCTTTTGTGTTGGTCTTTCTCACATTAATTTTTTTTTTTTTTTTCAGATGGGGTCTTGCTATGTTGCCTACATTGGATTAGAATACCTAGCCTCAAGCAATCCTCCTGCCTCAGCCTTCTGAGCCTTCTTTTCTGAGATTATTTTACATATGCCACCACACAGTTTTTTGTTGGGCTTTTTCTTAATTTTTTTTTTTTTAGTTGTAGATGGACATAATATCTTTATTTTTTTATACATATTTTTTAATTGTTGATAGATCTTTATTTTTTATTTATTTGTTTATATGTGGTACTGAGGATCGAACCCAGTGCCTCACATATGCCAGGCAAATGTGCTTCCGCTGAGCCCCAGCCCCAGCCCCCACAATATCTTTATTTTATTTATTTGTTTTTATGTGGTGCTGAGGATGGAAACCCAGTGCCGCAAGCATGAGAGGCAAGTGCTCTGCCACTGAGCTACAGCCCCAGCCCTGTGTTGGGCTTTTTATTTTTTAAAATTTATTTTTTTGGTGGGTGGTACTGGGATTGAACTCAGGGGCACTCAACCACTGAGCCACATCCCCAGCAATATTTTATATTTTATTTAAAGACAGAGTCTCACTGAGTTCCTTATCATCTCGCTTTTGCTGAGGCTGGCTTTGAACTTGTGATCCTTCTGCCTCGCCTCCCAAACTGCTGGGATTACAGGCATGTACCACCACACCCAGCTAGCTTTTTATCTTTCAACCTTATTTCTACAAAATTCATCCATGTTGTTACACATAACAGTAGTTCATATTGTATTTATTATTCCATTGTGTGAACAATGTTATCCTTTCCACTGTTGATTGGCATTTATATTGTCTCCAGGTTTTTGTGATTATAAACAATGCTGTTATGAATATCCTTGGGTATTTCTATTTGTGAACAAAAACAATCACTTCCATTAAGCATATACATGGCAGAAGCCAGGTGTGGTGGTGCATGTCTGTAATCCCAGGAATCTGGGAGGCTGAAGCAGGAAAATCTCAAGTTTGAGGTTAACCTCAACTATATAGGGAAGCCCTAAGCAAATTATTGAGATCCTCTCTCAAAATAAAAAATAAATGGGGCTGGGGATATAGCTCAGATAAAAGCTTCCCTGAATTCAATCTCAGTACCCAAAATAATAATAATAATAATAATAAACAAATAAAAAGGGCTGGGGATGTAGCTCAGTGGTAAAGCACTCCTAGGTTCAATACCCCGTAACCACCCGCCAAAAAAATTATATACATAGGAGAGAAATTGTTAGATCGGATAGGCATGGATTTAACTTTAATACAGTCAAACAGTTTTTTGAAGTGGTTGGAAAAACCATCCAACTTATTCCTGCCAGAAATGTATCAGAGTTTCAGTTGCTCCATAACCTTATCAATATTCAATATTGTCAGTCTATAAATTTTCACCATTCTCATGGGTGTTTATCTCATTGTATATCTAATCTGCAATAAGAAACTGAAAAGACACACAGGTTTATTGGAAATTTTGGATATATTCTTTAGTGAAGTGACAAAATCTCTTGCATATTTAACTATTGTGTTGTCTGTCTTTAACCTTAGAGTTTGTTAAAGTATATATGAATATATATTCATACATGTATATGTACGTATTTATGTATACACACAAGCACATATATGTATGTCTATTTGGATGAGTCCTTTATTAGATGTATGTGTTGTAGGTATATTTTCCCAATTGGTAACTCACTTCTCCCTTCCCCCACCCCTGTCAATCAAGTGAAGCAGTTCCTGGAATAATCATGTGTGACCTGACCATTTTCACCCATGTCCTCTGAGCTCTGTTAGATGGGTGAGATAATAGATTAGGAAAAACCAACTCAAACTCAAACTGTTTCTTCTACCATAGAGTCACAACATAGATCACTTCTGACACCAAAGGTGTCACACACCAAGCAAGCAATTCTACAATGAACACCAGCTGGGTGTCCTCTTATTCAATTCCAGTTTTACATATTTGGTAGAGTCAGGTATTTTTAGTCTTTCAGCAAGATAGGTACCTCTTGAGGCAAATTTCTATATGGATATACAAAGTGTCTATTCTTTTGTTTCAAGCTAAAACTTTTTGGAGAAACAAAAATCAGCCATTATATCCAAGAAAACTGAGCCACTTTTTAAGTTTTTCTTTTAAGTTCCTAGAGAAGACTTGGTTCCTAATAACATTGAACTGTCTAAGCCTGCCTCTTTAAGTCTTCCTGTCTGCCGTTTTAAACTTTTATCCTGTGCTCTATGGCCTTAAGCTGAGCATACCCAGGAAACCAGAAATGAATCCACTATGTTATTTTTATTATTAGGTATCAGGGATTAAACCCGGGGCCTCACTCCACATGCTAGACAAGCACTCTACCACTGTGATACATCCCAGCCACCATTCCTGCATTTATTTATTTATCTATCTATTTATTTATTTATTTATTGACAGGGTCTTGCTAATTTGTTCAGGTTGCCCTGGTATTTGTCTGACTCCCAAGTAGTGGGATTACAATGCCTGGCCCACCAAGCCTAACTCCACCATCTTTCCTTCTGTTTTTTTTTTTTTTTTTTTTTGGTGCTGGGGATTGAACTCAAGGGCACTCGACCACTGAGCCACATCCCCAACACTATTTTGTATTTTATTTAGAGACAGGGTCTCACTGAGCTGCTTAGTGCCTCATTTTTGCAGAGGCTGGCTTTGAACTCGTGATCATCCTCCTCAACCTCCCAAGGCACTGGAATTACAGGCGTGTGTCACCATGCCCAAATCACCATCTTTCCTTCTTGAACTACAACCCTGAACTGAGCAAGCTCAGAAATGTACATCCCAAACTGACCATGTTCAGGAATGTGCCCACCCCTAAGGGGAACATTAGTATAGACTTCCAGAATAAAATTCCCCCGCTTCCTTCATTGGCGAGAGCAGCATGCTTTAAAAATAACTACCTCTCAGGGCTGGGGTTGTGGCTCAGTGGTAGAGCACTTGCCTACCATGTGTGAGGCCCTGGGTTCGATCCTCACCATCATATAAATGTAAAATAAAGATATTGTGTCCACCTAAAACTTAAAAGTAAATATTTTTTTAAAAAACTGATTCTTTCCTTACTTCAGGTAAGAAATCTTTCTCCATACTTTTTATCTTCTGGCGTTGCTCATTGGCTTTGCACTCACCAAGATGCAAAACTTTGGGTTCGGTTACGGTACCACAGGTTGAGGGCTCAGCTCCCATGATTGCCCCCAACACACATGCTTCAGATGCCAGTTGCTTGAACAGCTCTCAGAACTCAAGGAAACATATCTACCAGCGTATTATAAAGCATATTACAAACGATACAAGTAAAAAAAATGTGTAGAGTGAGACATGGGAGAATATCACTAGGCATGCCACCTTCTCAGGAACTACACATTCTGCTATTGGGAAGCTCTTGGGACTCTGTCCTTTTTTTTTTTTTTTCATGGGTGGGAAAGCAGTACCAGGGATTAAATTCAAGGGCACTCAACCACCAAGCCTCAACCCCAGCCCTATTTTGTATTTTATTTAGAGACAGGGTCTCACTGTGTTCTTTAGTTACTTGCTGTTGCTGAGGCAGGCTTTGAACTCGTGGTTCTCCTGCCTCAGCCTCCCCAGCTGCTGGGATTACAGGTGTGCTTCACTGTGCCCAGCTCCTTTTGGTTTTTATAGACTCCACTGCATACCTTATGCTAATAGAGAGGAGAAACCTAGCAAGACCTGACTGTTCAGATTTCTTTTGGATATTGGAAAGACCCTTATTAATTGAGAAATCATTTATTTGTTTGTTTTGGGATGCTCTACTGCTGAGCTAGATCCCCCTTCCTTTTTATTTTTTGGACAGTCTTGCTAAGTGGCCCAGGCTGGCTTTAAACTTTCAATTCTCCTGCCTCAGCCTCCCAAGTAGCTGAAATTATTGACATGCACCACTGCACTTGGCTCTGAAATAAAAATCTTATTGAGATAGGATAGGAGAAATAAAAGAAATAGGAGCCAGGCAAAGTGGTGCATGCCTTGTAATTCTAGCAACTCAGGAGGCTGAGACAGGGGGATTATAAATTTGAAGCCATCCTTAGTAAATTAGTGAGGTCCTAAGAAATTTAGCGAGACCTTGTCTTAAAAAATAAAAGGGGCTGGGGATGTGGGGATGTGGTTCAGTGGTAAAACACCCCCAAGTTCAATTACCAGTAGTGGAAGGGGAGAAAAAAAAAACGGAAAGGAGACATAAAGAAAGGACAAGGAAGTAATTTTTTAATTTAGAAGTGCTGCATGCTGCTGGGCATGGTGGTGCACGTGGGAGGCTGAGGCAGGAGGATTGCAAGTACAAGGCCAGCCTGGGCAACTTAACGAGATCCTCTCTCAGAAACCAAAAAATAAGCCAGGCTTCGGGGCTGCACGCCTGTCTTCCCAGCAGGACAGGAGGCTAAGGCAGGAGGATTGCAAGTTCAAAGCCAGCTCAGCAATTTAGTCAGGACATAAGAGACCCTGTCTCTAAGTAAAACATAAAAAAGGCTAGGGATGTGGTTCAGTGGTTAGGTTTCCCTGGGTTTAATCCCCAGAAACAGAAAAAGAGAGGGACAAAGGACTGGGGATGGGATGTAGTTCAGTAGTAGAGTGCCCTTGGATTCAATCTCCAGTACCAAGAAAAAAAAAAAAAGGTTTATATTTCCTTTTCCAGGTTTGTCGCCTCCCAAGCCAATCTCTCTCCATGGCGTGTCTGTCATTCCCCAATTTGCTCAAGATATTTATCTTGTACACTATTGATTAGCTCACCAATAAATAGATTAAGCAGAGATATGATATTCTCCCAGTGTGTTATCTATTGATCAGATAATGAGGAACACATAAACCTAAGGATCCTGAGAATGACCAACCCACCATAAACTGTCTCGTGATCACAGACTGATGTCATCCCAGATGCCCCCATCCCCCCTTCACCAAATTTACTTTATATCTTTATTTTATTATTTTATTTTTATGTAGTGTTAAGGATCAAACCCAATGCTTCATGCCTCCTAGGCGAGCCCTCTACCATTGAGCCACAGCCCCAGATACTCACCAAATTTACTTTAAAAGAGGAGCAGGAAACCCTCAAATCATCTCTCTCTCTTTGGAAATAGCCTATATTCTCCCTAACCATGTATATGAGTTCCTAAATAAATTTTTGTCTATGGCTTTGACTGGCACATACTGAAATTCTTTTCAATCACGTAAGCAAGGGACCCCACTGTTGCCTCTCTATCCCAGAACTCCTTGGAACTCTCTTCCAGAGACTTCTCTTCTCCAGTGACATATCATTAACTATCAGGGAAGGCAGGTGAGAGAAAGGCAGAGTTTTTATGGCCCACATTAGGAAGAAAAGTCTAGTTTCCTTAACTTTCTTGAAGAAAGAAATATTTGCCAGGAATTGTAAACAAATGGCACATACCTGTAATCCCAGTGACTCAGGTGGTTGAGGCAGAAGGATCTCAGCAAATCAGTGTGGCCCTGTCTCTAAATAAAATATTAAAAAGGGCTGTGGATTTTGCTCAGTGGTTAAGTGTCCCTGAGTTCAGTCCTCGGTACCACCCCCTCTGAAAAAATTATATACATATAAAATATAACATACATATAAATAAATAATAGTGTCACAGTGGGTATGACAGGAATATTTTTGTGTTCAATTTACAAATACTGAATATCAAAATAAAACTAAATTATATCTGAAAATTCTGAGAAATCAAGAAGGGAAAAAAAAAAGATAAAACCAAAATTCCAAACAGGTTAGTTTCAATTAGCGTGACAAGGAAGTTCTCTCCACTTTAAGCCTTACATCCTTTAATCCTCTAATTCTTATAGAAAGTAACTGGAAATAATCTGCTGCTAACCACTGTTGCCATGGGCAAAAGGTATGACTTATGTATTGAGGGGGAGAATAAAGAATGTCCAAAAGCTTCTGCCCTTTTCTATGCTTTATTCACTCAAATCACTCAATACAATTTCACTCTATAGGTTCTTAATCAATAAAAATGTCAATCTTTAATGCTAGGCACTGCAATAGATATAATCAATTCACAGCAAAAAATTCTACATTGATTCTAAGCACTGTAAACACACTTAATCATGACAGGCTCATGACAGACATTCCCTCTGCATGCTAAGCTCAAGTGTCAGATCAAAAGTCCCAAGCCTTAGGCTCTAAGTCCAGAAGATGCACGTTCACTCAGACCATGGTGATCAGATCAGGAACCCATGAAGGCTTCTCCCATGCAGGCTTCTCCCAAAGTGGAGCTGACGGCTCGAACCTGGGCCCACACGCATGCCAGGTGAGCGCGATACCGCTTGAGCCACATCCCCAGCCCAAACTGTAGTTTTAAAATGGAGTTGCTTAGGCTCAGGCCTAAGGCCATCCTTACAACCACTCAGTTATTTGTGTTTTTGTGCCTCTTTGTTCCACCTAAAGTAACTTTGAAATGACCAATCCACTTACTCTTTTTTTTTTTCTTTTTAAATTGCTGATGGACCTTTATTTTATTCATTTATTTATATGCAGTGCTGAGGATCAAACCCAGTGCCTCACACATGGGAGGCAAGCACTCGACCACTGAGCCACAACCCCAGCCCCTCTACTTACTCTTTGTTTCTGTTTTTTGTTGTTGTTGTTGTTGTTTTTCACCCGTCTATAAAACCAAGTTTTACTGCTTAGACTAGGACACTCTATTTTACAGAATAAAATGTTGCCTGATTCTAGAATAGAAAATAGAGCCAATTATAATATTTAAACCAAATTGTTGTGATTTTGTCCTCTGACAACATAGACTATCAAAAATAAGGTAATCGCTTATAACATTACTGTCCAGAGATTTAATCTTTATTAACATTTTGGTGCATTCTAGGATTTATAAACATTTGTACACATCATTTTTTTTAATTAAAAAAACAATATTGTACTTTTTAAAATTATTTTTTGTGTGTGTGTGTGTGTGTGTTGGTGATTGAATGCAGGGGTGCTTTACCACTGAGTTACTTACAAGTCCTTTTTATTTTTATTTTGTTTTTAGTTTTTAATTTTGAGATAGAATCTCACTAATTGCTGAGGCTAAGCTCAAATTTATAATCAGCCTCCCAAGTTGCTAGGATTACAGGTGTGCACCTCCATTCATGGCTGTACATAATTCTTACCTAAATTTTTGAAACTCAATATTTTATATAAATGCCAATAAATACTCATCTTCATAACTTTTATTAACTTTGTTTTTTCTTGGCAGTACTGAGGATTAAACCCAGGACATTGCAAATGCTAGGCAAGCGCTGATCCTCCTAACTTTTAATGATTGTATAATATTCCAATTTTTTGTTGTTGTTGTCTTTTTAAAATATGTTGTTATAATTAGTTAATATTCCATCTTATGGACTTGCCAGGAGTGTCTTTCTTTCTTCCTTCCTTTCTTTCTTTCTTTCTTTCACCAGGGATTGAACCCAGGGGCACTTTATCACTGAGCCACAACCCTGGCCTTTTTTTATATTTTATTTAGAGACAGGATCTTGCTAAATTGCTGAGGCTAGCTTTGAACTCTTGATCTTCATTCCTCAGCCTACTAAGCCACTGGGATTACAGGCCTGTGCCACCAAGCCCAGTTTAAGGGCCTTTCTTTCTTTTTTTGTACCAGGGATTGAACTCAGGGGCACTGGACCACTGAGCCACATTCTCAGCCCTATTTTATAATTTATTTAGAAACATATTCTCACTGGGTTGCTTAGTGCCTAGCCATTGGTGAGTCTGGCTTTGAACTCTCCATCCTTCTGACTCAGCCTCCCGAGCTGCTGGGATTACAGCGTGCACCACTGCACCCAGCTAGGGATCTCTTTTGATTGAGTATTATTTGAAAAATCACCAACACAATGGTATATACGGTGCAAGAATTTCAGGTCCAGAGATGCTTCTGCCTCCATGCCCCTGGGAAAACCACTGAATGTTTTCCCACCCTGGGATTTTCCATGTTAGACCATGAGAGCCCATAATCACTGAGGTTTGCTCCAACTCAATGTCTGAGAGTTCACTCATAACAGAGGCTATTGCTCTGTATCTTTTCCTTCTTTGTGTTTTTGCTGATTTGCTTGTAATCCAAATGATCTAATAGGTCAGAATAAACAAATGTACATAACAAAACCCCTTGGGGAACTACGTTGCAAGGTAACCATGACCTTGGAGCAGAATGACTGTAGGGGATATACATTACAGTTTTGCTTAAAAGCAGCTGTGGCTATGTGACCTTAAGGGGCTTCCCCAGGGAGGAGCTAAGACATAAAAACACTTTTTATCAGAAGAATGGTGTTTTGGACAGTTAAGAACTTTTGAGAGGAGAAACCACTATTATATTTAACTAAAAAACTGGGAGAAAGGGGGCCAGGTGTGGTGACGCAGGCCTGTAATCCTGGTGGCTTGAGAGGCTGAGGCAAGAGGATCACAGTTCAAAGCCAACCTCAGCAAAAGTGAGGCCCTAAGTAACTCAGCAAGACTCTGCCTTTAGATAAAATATTAAAAAAAGGGCTAGGGATGTTGCTTAGTGGTTAAGTGCCCCTGGATTCTGTTCCCAGTACCAAAACAAAACAAAATACTGGGAGAAAAGAATCCCAAATAAAAGAGATAGTATCTTTTATAGTGTTATAAGTAGAAGCGTAAGGTATTTCAAAGCCCTATTAAGAGAGTTGAACAGAGGAAATAATATTACATGCACTGTACGTAGAAATGTCCCTTAGAATTACTGGGAGGAAAATCAAGAGTCTGATTGGGAAAGTGAGGCCAGAAGACTGAAGGTGGTTGGTACTTATTAGTTCACCACCTCACTGTGGACCAATCACCTCTCTGAGTCTGTGTCTTCATCTGTAAAATGAGAAAATGATAGCCTCTCCTAAGATGATTAGGCGAGATAAGTGGCTTGAAGCAAGTAAAGTGCTTAACTTAACTCCATGTAGTACACACTTGTTACATAAAAACTACAGGAGGCTGTTGTTTTGGATTGAGCTCCTGGACTGGGCGCCAACAGAATAGACTGAAAATTAAAATGGAGTCACTGATGCTAAAGTTCCACATCCCCAAACTGAAACTAAGTTGTTATCCAACCTTCTAAGAAATCAGGGAGCGTGCTGGGTGTGGAGGTGCACACCTGTAATCTCAGTGGCTTGGCAGGCTGAGGCAGGAGGATCACAAGTTCAAAGCCAGCCTCAGCAATTTAGCCAGGCCCTAAAGAATTTAGTGAGACCCCTGTCTCTAAATAAAAATTAAAAAAGGGCTGGGGATGGGGAGTGTGGTTCAGTGGTTAAATATCCCTGGGTTCAATCCTCAGTATCTTCCCACAAAAACATGGGGAGAGAGAGATAACAGGTAAAATTTCCAAACAGGCTAGTTTCAATTGGCATGATAATAAAGTTGTCTTTACTATAATCCATACCAAAAAAAAAAAAAAGTAATTTGATATAATCTGCTGTTAACCAATCAATAATTTGACTGTTGTTCTTTTTTTTTTTTTTTTAAGAGAGAGTGAGGGGGGGAGAGAGAGAGAGAGAGAGAGAGAGAGAGAGAGAGAGAATTTTAATATTTATTTTTTGGTTTTCGGCGGACACAACATCTTCGTTTGTCTGTGGTGCTGAGGATCGAACCCGGGCCGCACGCATGCCAGGCGAGCGCGCTACCGCTTGAGCCACATCCCCAGTCCCCCCCCTTTTTTTTTAGAGAGAGAGAGAATTTTCTTTAAATTTATTTTTTAGTTTTCGGCGGACCCAACATCTTTGTTTGTCTGTGGTGCTGAGGATCGAACCTGGGCCACACGCATGCCAAGCGAGCCCGCGACCACTTGAGCCACATCCCCAACCTGACTGTTGTTCTTACAAGGAAAGTAAGTTTAAAAAATTTCAACAAATTTATTAAATATAATCTTTTAAAACAATTTTTTTAGTTGTCAATGGACCTTTACTTTTTATTTATTTATATGTGGTACTGAGAATCAAACCCAGTGCCTGACACATGCTAGGCAAGTGCTCCACCACGGACCTACAGCCCCAGCCCTAAAGATAATCTTTTATAGTTTATAAAAAAATATTGTCCTGATATACACAAAAATTTCCCGATAGTGCTAATTAAAAATAACTACTCCCATCCCCCTCATGTCCATACCAATATCTGATCTAGATTGATTTAATTTTGAAGTATAATCCAATAAGACTGCAGATCAAACAGGAAGTCCTGGACATGATAATAAAATACTTGTAAACCTCCTGGATCCTTGGATTAATTGACTTCAATAAGGGAACTGATTTGCGATGCTGTGCAAGAAATGTGTTCATCTCCAATCATGGTTTCAAGCTCCTGCTGGCCTACGGGGTCAGGAGAGGCCACGAAGCATCATCCTTGTTGATAATTCCAACATCATCAATTTACTCCCCGGTTCCGCCGTCGCACTTCCATGCACCTAAGCCTCTTTTCTGATCATGACATCAGTTTTATAACAGCTCTT